GGGGGAAGCATTATAGATACCTCTCAGCTAGTAGAGCCGGTCTCGCTGGCTGGGCGGGACTGATGGTAAGCACCAGTACCGGTAGGATATAGAGACTGGTAGAAATCATAGAGGGAAGCACAATGGACCAATATAGGTCTAAGTGCATGGGGAAACCCACCCTCTCCAATAACTAACTAACCCTAACAAAATCTTGATAGGAGAACATATTATGAAGCTTCTCATTATGCAGTTTGCTCTATCCTCCTTTTGCTTCCTCCATCTTAGATCCAAAAATTCTCAATGTCACTTTATTCTCAAACATTCTTAATCTCTTTTCCCTTTAGAATGATAAACCAAGCCTGACTCCTGCACAGAAAACAGGTAAAATTATAATAGTTCAAATTTTAAACTTTAGGCTTTAAGAAAGAATGAGAGATGACAAGTTCACAAACATTCCCTAAATTTAATCTGCTCTTTATTTCTTCATGAAGTTAATTATGATATTTTATTGTCATTTCAAAATATTTGAACTCTGCATATACTGAAAAGACTAACTGGTCATCCCTATATTATGACTGTGTCCTGTAGATAATTAAACTTAGATCTAATGACTTAAAATGTGTACATATCTTTTACTTTATTACAAAAACCTCAGCATATAAATTGTGTAATGCTGAAAGCAGATTTCTTTACAGTTCCATCTGAGATTCCAGTCATCTCTAGAGAATATTTTAATCGCTGGTATTCACTGAAGTCCTACTATCTTGCAGTCACAGTTGCTGATGTACCTTTGCAGGTAAGTGGTTATTAAATATTACCTAATTCTGTATTTCTGAAACGTATGATCTCTTTTTTGGGCAAATTATTTCTTCTAATAAATTAAATATAAGGATTATCACACAGTCATAAACTATCAGAAATTAGGCAGGAAGGTTCTATACTGGAGTTTGCACCAGTTCTCCAGCCTAAATTATAAATAGGTATATCTAGAAGCAAGTCATCCCTTCGCTGCTCATTATACTGTAGTGTATATTATTCATAGCAATTCCAGAAAGACTTTTGGAGGCCACATAAACATCAACAATGATAATTTTTATTTCATGCATCCTGTTGTGTTATTATACACAGTTCTTTATTAAGTCTGTCACAACACAACAATATGGTGTTCAAGGGTAAATTAGCTTTGCTACATGTTTCAGCTATTCATAGCCATCATCAGGCAAATACACGATCATCAAATTTACACACTAGTGAACTACAATTGCGTAGGGAGTCTGGATACTGGACAATTATATTATAAAACACATGGTATAAAAATTACAATGAAATATAAATTTATTATAAAACAAGAGTTTTGCCATAAAATAAGGTTAAATCAGTTCAAGTGATAATCTATATCATGAAGTCAGTCGCAATCTTGTATTTTCCCGTGGACGATGGTATATTCTAGACTTTTATATGATAAACTGTTTGGAGGCCAGTGAAGTATAATTTTAACATTAATCTGAAAATGATTTGTCAATAAAAGCTATTATATTTATTGTAATGACTACTGATTTTGATATCGATGATATAGTAGTATTGTCTATTTACTGTTTGGTTGATGCATCATCGTATGATGTATTTATGTCCGTTTTGTAGAGAATACAGATTACAACTAATTTGGTGATGTATGTTATGGTGAAGTCGGTGCAAAAGAGGAAGGGGGGAAGATGTGGTGTGAGGATGTGGTGGGAGGGGAGATTTATGTTTGTTATGTGTCAATTAGTACATCAAATATAGGGTTAAAAATTTCAGTGAAACTATCTTTTGTTTGCTGACTTCATAAATATGAAATCTTTCATAAGTATCCAGTGTTTGGCCTTTCTTGCCGATGTATAAAATTTCCAGTATTTTGTCCATCGTGATATATTCATGTGGGGTGTCTAATATATGTTGAGCAAATTTTGAGTTATGTCTCTTATGCGTTCTCTGAATTTGATTTTAAAGGCACGGCCCATTTGTCCTATATATTTCAACGGACAGTCACCACATTGTAGTTGGTGAACTCCACTAAGGCTGTACTTATCATTTTTCTTTTAGTTTATTTTTAGGAGATGTTTAATATTGCTTTTGTCCTATATGAGATACCAACTTCAGTATTCTTAAATAGTTTGGTAACAGTTCTGATTTCATGGCCGAAATAGGTAAAGGTGATCCATTTATTTTTTTGCATGGTATTTTTGCCAGAGGGTTTTTGTATTTGTTGTATGGTATTTAGTGGGTGGTTATTATTATTTAGTATAGTTCTAACAGTGTTTTCTTCTATGTTTTTGTTGTTATGCGAAAGGGGTATTGATTCAATTGATTAATGAGAAAGTTTATAGCAGCTTTTTGTGTTCATATGGGTGACATGAATCATTGTGGATGATCAGATCAGTAACTAGGTTTTCTATAGATTCCAAGTTGTAGCTTATTGTGTGTTTTCTCGATGGATAGATCCAAAAAGTTAATTTTATTATTTATTTATTTTTCCATTGTGAATTTGATATTAGGTTGTATATTGTTAAATTCATTCAAAGTATTATCGATGTTAGTTATATGAGAATTATAGATGATTAAAATATCATCCACATATCTATAATAATCTATTATTTGGAATTTCAGCAAGATGTCAATGATGTTGTATGTTCGAGGTATTGTATAAATACTTCGGCTAGAATTGCTGAAGTTGATGCTCCCATGGCGAGACCTTCATTTTGTTTAAACCATTTGCCATTATGTTCAATGTAATTTTGTTCAAGCGTTATATTTAGTAGATTATTAATTTCAATTTTTGTTTCATGTGGAATGTCATGATTCTTATCTACAATATTTTCTACGATGTTTAAGAGTTCATATATGGGGATATTGGTATACATATTTTCAATATCGAAAGAATACATTTGTGTATGTAGCAAAGCTAATTCAGCCTTCAACACTGTATTGTTGTGTTGTGATGGACTTAATAAAGAATTGTATCAACAATGATAGTTAGTCCCCAGCTATTATTCAGGCTTCTGAATGAAAGCCAATTGGCACATTAACTGAACTAACCTACTTGTTCCCACAATATCAAGAGATGGTATTTGCTGCCTTGTGGGCTCAATTTTCTATCTATTATAGGTAACTGGTATTAGCTGAGGTTCGAAGAAATCAAAGAAATTTTGATTACCCATACCAGTTGAGAAATGCATTGTTAATCTAACTGTAAACGTCAAACAGACACCCTTAACAACACACAGATTTGGGTATTGAATTCCGATTTGGAAAACTATAACCCATAAAACTACAAGATTTACTTTTATACAGTCTTTGCAGTCAGTGCACAATGTGAACACATGGTGCTTATGACATGTTTCTTGACCTGTGTGTCTATCTACATGAATCTTCTGCTAAGCACTTGAAAGATCTGAGAAAAATAGAGTACAAGAGATCTAAATAAAAGTTATTGGACAAATATAGTTTCTGTATCTGTGGTTCATTATAACACTCACTCTGAATAAGAATGTAATAGCTTTTTCTATATTAATATTAGCAACATAATAATTGGCACAAACAAGAACTGTAAAAATAAATACTGAAGATAACATATTTTTAAAGCTGTTCATTGTTTTTGAGAAAACTCTCTAAGTAAAAAAAGTAAAATAAGTAAAGCTATCCCTGTAACAGGCCATGAAGGCCCATAGGGTTGTGAGACGTTGAGGGTTCCACATTATCTAGACAATTGGCTCAAAGATGGCGGTAAGGTTGTCAGCCTTACGTGCCAGCCACAGTTTACTCCCCAGGAAAATTATTATTTAATTCTTGGTACTCATTTCTGTTAGAGCCCATAGTGCAGCCGGAAGGATTAGGTCAACTGAAAAAAAAATCCAGTGACCTCACTGGGACTTGAACCCGCAACCTTCTGGCTTGTAGCATAGTGCCTCATCCAACTACACTACCGCGTGCCCCCACTCTCTAAGTATATAAAATTAATATTTTAGGCAACTCTCCTTAAAGTAACACAGACAGAGACAGATTGAAGAGGAGGCCAGACCTTTTGGTTTTAATTGTGAAGTTGCTGGCAAAAGTTTGTGATTCAGATTTCAGAGAAACTTGATGAAGAATAAGTTTATTATTAATTATTAGTTAATATTACAAGAGGGATTTCATGTACTTCAGAAATGAGAATATTTATAAGCTTTGTGGTACCTTTCAGATCACAGAAAACAAATTTAAAACAACATTTAATTCAAATAAATTTGATCAACAAGAGAATCCCTACTCACACTAAAATTTTTCATTCATTTATAATTAATACATGACTGGGTTAACTTATCCGTGATGATATTGAACTTTATTCCTTTACAGATCATTTGCTCAGTTGGCTACACACTCATAGTATATCACATGACAGCACAACCCCCTGATGTGATGCGCTATGTTCTTTTCGTCACAATATGCACTATGGTAGCAATGGTGGCTCAGAGCATTGGCCTTCTCATTGGAGTGTCCATGAGTATTCAGGTACATTCGTCTTCTTCTTATAAACTTATCTTACACTTCCCTCCTTAAATAATTTATGCTCTCACTCCGGTGTTGCTGCACATTAGACAAAATATCAGCACGCATTATATTCTCACATTCAGGATGAATATCACAAGTTATGGAAAAAAAATATAGGTCAAAATTTGAATGTACCACACGTCTGCTGCATATTATGACGAGTAAGCTGATAATTATATTAGCTGCAGACTGTGATGTATTGGAGGAAATTTAGCACTACCCATTGAATAAGACTTCAAACTACTAGTTTAAAGTATGGCTGAAAGACGTCTGAATCCACACCTTTCTAATGGGTGCCATGGGAAAGGCAAGTCCCAGTACTAATTTGCCCAAGAGGATACTGGTCCATAACATGAGAGACGCCAACTAAGACATACAAATATGATGCTTCCCAAACATATACTCATTAGTCTGCATAAGGAATGACAAACCACATCAAAGCTTTAAAAAGAATTACATAAATATTTAAGTGATACCATTAAAAAATAATATACAATTACTTCAAATATTAAAATACACTACTGTCTTCTTGTTTAGCAGGAAGACATCTAACTGCTTTCCTTTTTTACAACCTTTATGGTATGCATACTGTTGTGTGTTATATCAAATATATATAATGGGACAGCCTATGTAACAACAAGCCACCAATTGTGCAGTTACTCAAGAATTTCCCAGCATTTTATGGAACTCAAAGGTTCATTACCATGTTCACAAGAGCCCTCCACTGGTCCCTATTCTGAGCCAAATCACTCAAATCCATACCATCCCTTCCTATCTTTCTGAGATCCATTTCAATGTTGTCCACCCACCTACACCTTGGTCTTCCCAGTGGTCTCTTTCGTTCTGGCTTTCCCACCAATATCCTATATGCATTCCTCCTCTTCCCAATTAGTGCTACATGCCCTGCCCACCTAATCCTCCTTGATTTGATCATTCTACTCGTAATTATACTTGAAGAAGCATACAAGTATCATGATGCTAACATGTTTTTAAATGTATTTTAGTAAGTAATTAGATTCAAACACATTCCAAGAATACACAGTTGCAGCCTTTCATAAAATTAATAGCTTATGTCAAGTGATGTATATGTAAAAAGAATGCTTGAAAGAGTACTCACCAATTCTGTATTGCACTTTAGGTTCCTAGAGAGTAGTGTGTAGACAACAATCCTATATTCTTCCTTTCAACTTATTAATACAACCACCATCTGTAATATTTCAGAACGACAGACATTATTTTCCTATTAATGCTGCAAAATACGAACACTGCAATTGAAAGTGGTTTCTTCCAGCATTTTGCACTGTAGAAATGTAAGTCATAAAAAACAAAAAATCAAAACTCTGTGGTTCTAGTCCATAAGCGAACTATACTGACCAAGTGACTGCCACTTGTCAGCGAAGATAGTACCAACTTTAATGGATAGAAGGTGTCGCGTGGTCAGTGCAGCAAATCCCCACAGCCATTAATCTCGGTTTTCTAGACCAGAGCCGCCATTTCCTTGAAATAGCTCCTCAATTATCCTCATGAGACTGATGCCATACATAAGAATAATAATAATAATAATAGTAAAATAAAGTGCATGCTAGAACATGAATGAAAAACAAATGTAAGTTAAACTGTGAAAGTTTATCTGTGTTAGCAAAGTGCAGTAGAAGTATCATTTATTTATTTTGCACTAACTTGGTTTTTAAACTCTTACTACACCCGACTGGGAACATCTTGAGTCATAGTATATATTGTGTTTCTGATTCTTGTCTTCACTCTCAATATCACTTGTTTTTCACCATCCTGTAGGTAAAAGTGATGCAGTAGTATTTGGAGATGAAGGTGGCCAAAGTTTCAAACAACCTCTTTGAATCCACTGCCATGGAAAATGCTAGTTTAGGCTTTCACCCAGAGTCTCTAGGCACAGTGGAACTTTCTGTATTAATACATAAATGACAGACCAGTTTCTCAACTTACAGGAGTGCCACTTTATACAAAAATTGTTCATGAAGATCTAATCAGTATTTCTCAGGGTAGTGGCTTTCACCCAAGGGACTATGTAAAACAAATGATATGTGATGTGAAGTATAAAAGACTGCCTGCACAGACAATGTTCAGACTTATAAAGTAAGTAAAAGTAAAGCTATCCCTGTACCAGGCCATGAAGGCCCATAGGGTTGTGAGACGTTGAAGGTCCCACACTATCTAGACAATGGATTCAAAGATGGCGGTAAGGTTGTCAGCCTTACGCGCCGGCCGCGCTTTACTCCTCAGGAAAATTATTTGATTAATTCCTGGTACTCATTTCTGTTAGAGGCTGAGTGAACCCCAGGGTCATAGTGCAGCTGGAAGGATTAGGTCAACTGAAAAAATCCAATGACCTCATCGGGACTTGAACCCGTGACCTTCCGGCTTGTAGCATGCCCCCAATATTCAGACTTATAAGAAACTTAACAAATATGTACAAAGTGCCAGATGGTAGTTATATGAATTTCTTTAACGCAGGTAAATTTTCAGTTTCTATTTCATTTCATATCTTATTCATAAACTGTCACAAAATAATTAAACTTGAATAGTGCACTATAAATTTATATGGGAACATGTTATACCATAAATTAAATAATTCTATTTTTATCAAAATGGACTTATTTATTTACTTTCATCTTTAAGAACCAAGAATTAATAATTAATTAATAGTTACCAACTCTAACCCCATAGATTTTGTAAGTGATATAATGACCATTGTCAAATACTTAAACCTTGAAAAAAAAAACCCATCCCATACTATTTATAACTGAAAATGGACCCCAAATTAACCTATGTAAGCTGTGCTAACAAAACAATTTTTAAAGCACATGACACAAAATTCCTTGGATTATCTATAGACAGTATACTGTCTTGGAAATTACATACTGGGCAGGTACTACATATGCTGAGTGCATCTTGTTATGGACTCAGAGCTGTTCAACCCTACATGTCTCAGGAAGTAATGAAAATGGTTTACTGTGCCTATTTTCACCCTGCTATGTCATATGGAATAATTTCTGGGGAAACTCAACAGATAACATTAAAATCTTCAAAATGCAAAAGAAATCAGAATTATCACAGGAAGCAAGAACAGAGATTCTTGCAGAGATTTATTTAAAAACTTGAAAACCTTTCTGTTTTGCTCACAATACATACTCTTGCTCCACCAACATTCTATAAAAATCTGTCTCTATATCAAGGAGGAGTTCACTTCTTAGGCATCAAAGTGTTCAGTCAAAGTGATCTCTTACTGTAGGAGAATCTTTTGTTTGAGCTGAGTGAGCATTATTATTTAATAGTGACATTGAGAATAAATAAAAAAAACACTGTTTTTCTGTGATATTATTAATGTAAAGAAAATATAGTGCATGTAATAAGAATATGGGATGACTCAGTCCATTATTAATTTTTTTCACAATATGGGTGTTCTTCCATCAATCTTTATTTCCCAAAACCTGGTCATTCCTTTTAGTCACTGTTCTAAAATTAATACTCTTACTACACAGAACATGTGAAATGAAAAGAAATAAATTGGAGGAAGATATACACGAAAAATTTTTATATATTTCTGCTCATACAAACTATGACTATATTTTTTTTTTTCAGAATGGAATGGTATGGGGTGCATTAGCAATAATGCCATTCATGATCTTCTCTGGTTACTTTGTGCATATGAATGATGCACCAACATATTTCCGGTGGTTGTTCCACATCAGTTACCTCAAGTATGGTTTTGATGGAGCATTGATTTCTATCTATAGCTATGAGCGCAAAGAACTAGAATGCTCCATTGACTACTGCCACTACACAAACCCCAAGAAATTCCTCAAAGCACTTGACATGGGCAATGATAATTACTGGTTCAATTCTATCATCCTTGGTGTCATGTTTTTCTCTTTGAGATTCCTCTGTTACTTTATTTTACTCTATAGACTTAAGAACAGGTATTGACATATAGAATTTTGTTCAGTAATATTTTAATATTACATTCTAATCAAATTTGTTACATAAAATCAGAAATATTTCAAGTATATATGACAAAGCTCCTCAGTTCTAGAGTTGCAAACAGATGTATATCATTTTTCTCTCCAGAAAGTTATCTTACTGGAATTGTCTGGTCACCAGTTGTACATATCATACTATAACTGATTTTCCATAAGTAAGTAAATATTTCCACCCTCTCTAAATGTTAACAAATAATATAACTACAGGAGTTTCCATATTGCTCACAAATAAAAGTGAAAAAATTTCTCTTTCCTGCCATATGCAGGTTTGTGGTAAAACACCTGTTCAGAGGGATAATAGTTTATGATGTTCTGAAAAAGTGATAAATTATTTAATCCCAGAAGCAACATTGTACAATTATACAAGGGCTATCCAGAAAGTAATATCTGCTGAGCTGTTAACAAAACAATGAGAAAAAATGATTATATACATGAAATACATACATACTTAAGCTACTTCTGAATGTAGTCAGTGCCAGAACTAAGGCACTCATATCGGGGAATAAGTTTTTGTATGCCTGTACCAAAGAAGTCTACTGCATGTGAGCTCAGCCATGCTTTCACATCTTCCATGTACTCCTCATTACTGCTGAACCACTGTGATCACAACCAGTTTTTTACATAGGTAAACAGGTCGTAGTCACTCAGAGAAGGATTGGGGCTGTAGGGAGGGTGGTCAAATAACTCCTAGCTGAAATGCTCCAGCAGTAATCAAGTGTGAGCAGCTGTATACAGACGTATATTGCAATGGAGGAGCACTACAACAGATGTCACCATTCTGTGTCTTTTGTTTTGAACGGCCTTATGCAGTTCTCTTTTAGTGTTCCACAATACACTCGTGATGTTATTGCAGTCCTTCGTTGCACGAATTCTACCATCAGCACTCATTTCTTGCCCCCAAAAAACAGTTTCCATCAGCTTTCTGGCAGACATTTGTTTAAATTCTGTCGGCTTGTTTGGTAAATGTGTGCACATTCACTGCTTTTGACTGATCTTTAATTTAAACATTTATAAACTAAACACAGGTTTCCTCACCTGTTACTTGTAGGATGTGATTGAGATATTCATCGCCATCTTTGTGGTATTGCTATAAACAAAGTCAAAACTGAAGCCATTCTCTGAATTTTTATGTGCAACTGTGAGCATTTTTGGAACCCATCTCGTGCAAAACTTGTGATAGCCTAGCCTAACTGATTATCTGATAAAGAAAAATGTATGAAATCTGTCGAAATTCACATGAGTTCTGAAAGTGTGAAGCGGTGTCCTTCACAAATTTTTTAGGTCATTGTTTTGAACAAGATCATCACTCACTACAGATGGCTGGCGAAACACTTCACTCTTCATTGCAAATGTTTGTTCACCCATCTTTGAACATTCTACACCACTGTCTTACAGTTCCTTCTCACTACATTTTGCCCATAAACAAATCATAATTCACAATGGATTTCTGCAGCACACATGTTTTTAGAATGAAGGAAGTAAATAACAATATGAATTTTGCTGCTGGTGGGATAATCAATCACAGGATACATCATAACTAACTCCGTAGGGACAAGAACATACATTAGATGACCAGCTATGTGATGTTTACAAAGCAATGAGTCATGTGACACTACCTTGCATGCATGAGCTATCCCCTGCTCCTGCATTAGGTGCCTAAAATATATGGAGATTACTTTCCAAATAACCCTTGTATAATGACATGTAAGAGCATCATCTTTCTGAAAATCATTTACTATATCATTGATGAAGAATGACAGTTGTAGTTGAAAAATTATCAGGTGCCACTGCAAAGAGTTCAAAATCTTCCCACTCAGAATACAACAAAATTCTCTTTTAAGGCTTCTTTGGGGAATAGTGGATCTGAACACTATATTGAGGAAAACATTAAAATATTAGAATTTTAACACTAATATTATTGATTTGGGATCAGCAAAATTGAATGTTAAGCAAGAAAAACCTTGAGCTACATTAAATGGGAATAATTGTATACTGTTACTCTTTTGATAATAAATCAACATTTGTGCTTTCAGATTTGTCAAGCACTGGTAACTGATCAGTGACCCTTATTTTCACAGTGCAGCAATAAGGTGTGCCATAAATTTGTTACATAGCGAGTTTCTTACAGTTTGTGTACCTAGAAAGTAACTGAGGAAAATCAGAGAAAGAATGAAACTAGGAAGTTTTTTAATGACATCAGATTTTTTAAAACACACAACAGTGCATTGCCAAGGATGTGTAGAGATGCTGATCGGAATTTAATAATGCAGCAACTACAGGTACTAGAAAAATGGAAGGAAAATTTCATTGAAATGTTCACTTTGGCCGAAACAGACAAAATCCCTGATATTATGGATGACTCAGCGTGTGATAATGACTTGTATACTGAACCTCCAACATATGAGGTATGTACCATAATCAACAGACTCAGAATCAATAAAGCTGCTGGACCAGACAACATTACCCCAGAGTTAATTAAATTTGGTGGACAAACACTGAAACAGAGGATACATAAGCTGACACTGAAGGTCTATATGTATAAAATAAACTCCATTCATTCATTCATTTTACATTCCATAGATCCACAGTACAACAGGTAGGATATGGAACACGTCAAGTGGTACATATATAAAAGACAAATAAGCCAAAAAATAGAATAAAATAAAATTATGACAAAAAACATTATTTATTAAACTATATATAAATTCTTTGGTATGTCATTAACTCGCAATAGCCTTAAACTGAAGATATTCATCAATGGAATAAAAATAATGTGTATAAAGAAAATGTTTTAGACAGGCTTCAGATTTCCTTGGATTATGAAATATATCTTTAATATGTGGAGGAAGATTGTTAAATACGTTAATACCCATACAGTACACTCCCTTTTGGTAAACTGTAAAATTTACTGTGGGCAGATAATTATTTGATTGTCTTGTACCTGTATTATGCTTTTCTGAATTTAAAATAAAGAGATCCTTGTTATTGACCACAAACAACATGAGTGAAAAAATATATTGTGATGCAAGAGGCAAAATTTCCAACTTCCTAAACAAATTCCTGCACGAAGCCCTGCTCCTACAGCCCATCATAATTCTTATTATTCTTTTTTGCATTCTAAATATTTTAAAACTGTGGGGTGAATTTCCCCAGAACATTAAGCCATAGCTTATGATTGAATTAAAATATGAATAATAAATAATTTTCATCATACTCGTACATCATAAATGTAACACTTTATTGTACTTCTTGTGCCTCTTCTTTCACACTGCACTCAATATTAACATTTAAACTCCAGATTTCGAATTGTTCATTGCTCTGTCATCAATCGGCACCCAAGATTCCAGAACTCCCCTTGTCAGTGTTGTCAATTATGTTTAAAATCTTTATTAATATTGACTCGTTGATTGGTTTAAAATTTTAAATTCTCAATTTAGCTTTAATATTTAAAATTTAAATTTAAAATAAAAAATCACACAGATACCTGCTCTGCATTGCTTTCAGCACAGCTCGCGTGTTATCTGTAATACACAAATATTCGTGTGACTGTCTTATGTTCTTACGTTATTCCTATAGATAGCTTGCAATTTGCAATATATACAAAACCCACACAAACGGACATCATAATACCTAACAGTTCATGCCATCCATTTGAGCACAAAATGTCAGGTATTTATTATCTAATAAACAGACTCTACACATATCCAATAACAGAAAAAGAGAAACGGATAGAAAAGAACACTATTAAAAACATACTACATAACAACAGATACAACACAAACATAATTAACAGACAAACTCAGATAAAATGAAAACAAAAATCAAACATGCACGATGACAAACAACACCAAAAAACAGAGTGGGCCATATTTACATATAGTACAAAAGAAGTACGAAAAATCACATAACTTTTCAAAGAGACACATATAAAAATAACATTTCCCACATGGAACACAGCTGAAAGTATACTTAAACATAAACCACAATTAGATAAATACAATAAAAGTAGTATATACCAAATGCAATGTGCAGATTGCTCATTAAAATACATTGGACAAACGGGCCGAACATTTAACACTAGATATAAGGAGCATATACACGATATTAGAAATAGTAATAGCAATTCTGGATACTTAAATCACATACTAAACACTGGACATGAATACGGAACAATAACAGATGGAATGGAAGTCGTAACAATGGGCAAAAAGGTATACATTTGAATACACTAGAAAAATACCATATATATAAAATAAGTAAGAAGGGCCTGCACATGAATGACAGATACACACCGTCCCATATTTCAAAAAATACATGAGCTCTATACAGACTAATGGTACACCCCCTCCCCCCACTACCCATTCCCCTTCCACACTCAACAACATAAAAACAGCACACAACACACCAGACAGCAAACATATTGAAGAAAAGTAGTGGTACGCACACAGAGAGCCTGCACAAAGTAAGTACACATAATAGAATAAAAAATTATAGGAATAATGTAAGAACATAAAGACAGTAACACAAATATTTGTGTATTACAGATAACACGCAAGCTGTGCTGAAAGCAAGAGGTAGCCACTGCAGCACATGTAAGCATAGAGCAGGTATCTCTGTGCTTTATTATTTTAAATTTAAATTTTAAATATTAAAGCTAAATTTAAAATTTAAAATTTAAACCAATCGATGAGTCAATATTAATAAAGATTTTAAACATAATTGACAAAACCGACAAGGGGAGTTCTGTAATATCAGTGCCGATTGATGACAGAGAAATGAACAATTAGAAATCTGGCGTTTAAATGTTAATATTGAGTGCAGTGTGACAGCTACGTGAAGTGAAATACACCTGATGATGACCAGTTACAGCCGAAACATGTAGTGTGAAAGAAGGGGGCCAAGAACTACAATAAAGTGTTACATTTACGACGGAGTTTATATTATATATATAGAAGTATGGAATGTAACATGATGCTTAAATAAAATATAATACTGATATTGAAGATATGGCAGGACCAAGAGATCCCTGCAGAGTGGGGAAGGAATCATAGCACAAGTACATAAAAAAGTTGATAAGGTGGCTTGTCATAATTACAGACCAATAACATTATTAAACATCTCATATAAAATTTTCACAATTCTATTGAATAATAGACTGATAGCTACTATAGAAAGTAAATTAGATGACTGTCAAATGGGATTCAGGCCAAACAGATCAACAATAGATAACATATTTATAGTTATACAGATCTATGAAAAATGCTGAGAGTTTAATATTGATGTTTATAACATATTTGTAGGCTATACACAAGCATTCAATTCTGTTAAGAGGTGTCAAATAATATACTGCCTTAAAAACTACAATGTTTCATCTAAACTAATCAGACTAATAGCAGCAACTCTCCAAAATACGAAAGCAAAGGTAAAAATAAATGCGGAGCTTAGCGAAGGATTCCAAATAAGCTGTGGAGTGAAACATGGTGACCCATTATCTGCATCACTTTTCATACTGGTTATAGACGAGATCATAAAAAGTCTAGATGTTAGAGGTAATATTTCCACAAGGTGTAAACAGTGTTGTTCATATGCCAATGACATACTCATTATTGCAAGAACAAAACAAACATTGATTAACACCTCTGAAGAGCTTAAAAAGCCTCACAAAAGTATGGGCTGTAGTCAGTGAACAAAAAACTAAATTCCTACAGTTCTAACAAACCTCAAATAATCCAATATCTCAGATGCAGTGATGTAAACACAGAACAAGTCTCTCATTATAAATATTTAGGGTCTATGGTTGATTCAGACACAATTGAACACGAGATTAAAGAGAGGTTAGCAACTGGAAATAAAGCATATGCTGCACATTTAACACTGTTCAAAAGTAAACTTATTTCTAAAACAGCTAAATTAAGATTATACCAGATGGTAATTCGACCAACAGTGACCTACGCCTGTGAAACCTGGACACTTAACGAGGTCATTAAACATAGACTTTTAGTCTTTGAAAGGAAAATTCTAAGAAAGATCTTCGGGCCACCATGATGGCTCCTGGAGAATTAAAACATATGAGGAACTAGATAATCTAATAAAAGGAAGGAACACAGTTAACTTCATCAAAGCCCAAAGAATAAGTTCGTTTGGACACATCTCAAGGATGGAGGCTGGACAAACAGTTAAAAGAATATATGACTGGCAGCCACACGCTATAAGAAAGAGAGGCCAACCTAACATCAGATGGAAAGATGACATAAGGGAAGATCTAAAGAATTTAGGAATTTATAACTGGACAACTTGCACACAGGACAGAAGTAGTTGGAAGGAAATTGTTGAGCAGGCCAAAGCGTTCAAGAAATGAAGCTTATTATGAAGAAGTACCTAGACAGAATACAGACCTACATTTACTTGTGCTTGGCGCCTGTGGTGTGGTGGACTTTCCTCAGTTGTCATGAAACAATTCACAGTACCATAAAATAAAATCAGGACACTGTCTTATTGTTTAATTTTAATTCCAGTTTGTGATTCAGACTTTTCAGGGAAACATTTTAAAAGATGAAATCATTGGCAGAGCATCTTTAGAAATTAAGAAAACAGATTTACTGGGAAAACAAATAATTCTGAATTTTAAGATGTTTGAGTTGAAGCTGCTACAGCAATTAGTCTGTTTTTAATATTAATTTGTTTTAATAAAAGCAGATATAAAGTAAAAAAAATCTTTATTGTACATTTTTTTTAAAACATTATTATTATTATTATTATTATCATCGTCATCTCTTGTCACAGGTTTATTTCCTGGTATTCCTTTGCTTGGACCAGTGATGCACCTCACCACTCAGGCTTCAAGCTTCGCACTGTAGCACTTTCCGTAGTATGTGTGATGTTCCCAGGATAGCTGTTTTTTGCAGTGAATCTATGGAGTGTTTACCAGGAATTAGTTCCAAATGTTTCCTCAGCCCTCTGGTAACTGTACCCGTGGCTCCAATAATCACTGGTATCACAAAACATTTCACATTCCACATTCGCTGAATTTCGAT